GAAATTCATCCCCAAACGGGAGGAAATCTATGAAAACCTGAAAAAGGCTCCGGTTTCAATTGCCTCTAGGACAATCATGAAGGTATATATAGGGGGCCATAAGCTCCCAAACCCATCCAAGAAGCTAAACAAATCGTCGCCTCAACTCCCTTTACACTCCTCCTCTACACCTCTCCGCGAACTTCTCAGGTTCCGGTCTCTGCTCCTTTTCATCTCCTCTTCTAGATCATTTGAAATTCGTCGTCTATAGACTCTCCCGCGAACCTCTCGGCCCTTGGGCTCTCTTAATGACATAATATTCCAGTAAATTAACACGTAACACCCCTAACAGATGGCCACTTTAACCCACGCCTGATAGGTCTGGGCAGCAATCGCCACATTAACATTACTACTGTTGCTGGCCGCCTCTTCGGGGAATTTATATTCAATTCTATCTTTAAGTAAAGTGTAGGCCCTAGGGGGGGGACGGCTAGTAGTAGTAGTAGTAGTAGTAGTAGTAGTACCTGGACCCCGCGGATCCTCCTTTTTTTTGGCCGACCAGCTTTTCGAATCAAGAAATAGGACGCTTGTCAAAAACACGGGTCGTGTGCCAAAAACATGGAAACTATCTTGTTGCAGCGCTTCACGGGATGTCTCAATTCGGGCCTGAGCGTTTCGGTTGCAAACGAACTCAAACTAGCATTCGCTTGTTTTGATGCTAATCACTTCACGAACCGTATCTTTTGAACAAATATCGTTTGATGCATGCCCATCCTGATTGGTTGCGCATGAAGAACAATATTTCAGAGCAGGCATGTTGCCAATTCCGCTATGTTCTGCATGAACAACAGGTATATTTGACGATGTTGTTCATGTATCATGATATCATTGTGAACTTTCAGGCGTGCATTCCTTCGAGCTGAGACATATAGCGTGGAAGGTCCGGCTCCCTTCGTCCAAAATTTACAAATGCGTACTTGCCCCTCCGCCGCAACCCCCACATTCACCATGCCACTTTCCTAGACAGTACCGTGAGTTTGCACTTCGCAACAGCAACCCCTCAAGAGGCTTGGTACAAGCGCGAACCCATGCAGCAGAAAGGCACACAACGCGCGGAAACCCAGCGGAAGCAGCGCGAACTGCATTTCTGACACGAAAATTGATTGCATTATTTGCCCCAGCTACAATTTGCTGGTCGCAAGCCATGCAAAGACCTGAATTGAGAAGCTTGCAACCGGGGTTGAAATGTCTTGTCGGCTTTGGCCCCTGACTCGCCACAGTGGTTCTAGCCTTGCAAGGCAACACAAGCTGACAACTCCTACAAGTTTCATTGCCCATGAGAACAAAACACGAATTTCGCACAGCTAAAATTGCCCCGTGCTATAGTGATGGGCCCAAATGAAACTTTTGCAAGAAATATGTTGCAGATACAAATTTAGAATGACTCATCAGCGACTATCGAAGCAACTAGAGGCCTGGGAAAACCCCAAGAGCTCATCAATGACGTCGAACTTGTGAAAACATTTAACACCAAGAAACGTGTAAGGCTTCATCTCGCAAACGAGGCTGCCTTGCTCTGTACAAAATTTACATCGTCAAAGCGCTGCTATGACAGCCATACCATTCACCAATCGTTGTTGATGTTGAAGATTCTGACAGTCTTGTCATGGAATAGGCCACCAGCAATGGAAACTGGGAGCAAGGAGGGGCGGACGTTTTTCTTGAACGAATGCTTGATGGGCTTGAAACTGGAAATTTTGGTGGTCTTCATAAGCAAGATATTCCAACAAGAACCTGCCTGAACCTGTGCAAAAACTCCCAAACAGAAAGTGTTCAAAAAACAGTGAAAATACGTATTTTATACGTATTTTTGTACGGCTTTTTACGGGTTTTGTACGGAAAAATACAGCCTTTGTACGGGTACAGCTGTCCACAGGAGCGAAATACGTATAAAATACGTATTTTGTACGTAATCTGTCTTTCTCCTTTACTTCCCGTGAAATTTTCTTAAACCAGGTTAAACTGCGTAAAACATTGTACAGCCATGAGCTTGGATCCAGAACAGCACTCGCACCTTGTTTGATCAACGGCATGGGGCGCGTATGGGCTGGAAAACCAGTCTGGCAATGTACTTAATGCAGCCAGTACAAACATTGCAACGTGCACACGGCTCACGTTCTTGTCGCAAGATTGGAGAGAGTGACAGAGCCCTGTTGTATTTCAAGTACGTTTGTATCACAGGTCGTCGGGTGTCAGTGAACGTCAAAATTGCCACTGCCAGACACCGTACGCTTTCTCAACTTTTAAGCATCTAGGCAAACCGCGTGATTTCGGTAGCGAAGACCAAGGCCACAGGCCCTGTGCAGAAAAAGTACGCGCATACGTGCCATCAACAACAATTAAGGGCATTGCTTGGAAGGGCTTTGGCATTTCAATCAATCAACGCAAAGCAACATTTTTTGTAAATGAAATGTGTTGTGTCATTAGCTCCTTATTCTTCTGCGGACGAATTGCAAATTTCTACGAAACGGCACTCGACCTAGCAAGCCCAGATGTTGGATGACGGTTCTAGATTTTGGGCAAAATTTTTGGGCCACCACATGGCTCAGGGCCATCGCCGTCCTAAGAGCGATGCCCTTCAAAATTGCGTGGCGTGGGACATGGCACAATACAAAAAATGTGGCATGTAGCCGGCGTGGCTCCCATTGAGCTGTTGATTAGATATAGGGTTGGAGTGCGCATAATGGGAAGGGCGAAACCAATCATGCCCTGTGACCTTCTGAATTCTGAAGCAGGCCTTGTTCTTGGCTACTGGGTCCTTGGCGTGCACACGCTCGCGAGCCACGTATAGCAAGCAATTACTGCCTAGCAAGATCGTCTACTTTGTGTTCCTTGACGTTAGACAAAAACGCTGTAACAAGCTACGCCTATTCTGCGGGACCTACCTGACCACTGAAATTTGACAGAGACAGCCCTAGCTTATTCGGTGAGTGCTTCCAATGTCTGCGCCACTCGAGCTTTGAGCTCTCGTATCTTGCTTGAGGTTTTCTGGGCGGAGGGGCCGCATCAGAGCAAAAATCATGGGGCGCGTGCGGAATTGAAAGTTAACGTGCGGCTGGCCTTTTGTTATGTCCGTATCCGGGACAATCTTGGGATAGTTTTGGCACACAATTCGCTAGGAAAAAGTGAGACCATACAAAATGCAGGTCAGTGGCAAAATACGGGGCGTAGTGTTGAAAGCCAGGTTTTCGTATGCAGAACCAGGCTTTTTTCTGTGACCCATAAAAACGTGGGATCTGCGGGGTCCAGGTAGTAGTAGTAGTAGTAGTAGCAGCAGCAGCAGCAGCAACAGCACGGGTAGTAGCAGCAGCAGTACCAATAGCGGCATGTCTGCAGTCATTGCCATCTCCTCTTACTTTTGTTACGCACTCTGCAGTCAACATAGCCTGGCGGTCATAAGATCTGAATGCATTGCATGCGTGCCGACACGGAAGGCGCGCAGGAGTGAGAGCTCCCCGGCCCTGGTCCACCCGGGCCTCTAGACTCTACACTTTCCACTCAGGTGCCTTAGAGGCTCGAACAGGGCAGAACGAAATGAGGCACAGGCCGGAGGTAGCTTCGCCTTTGGCTTTAACGCCTGCTCAAAAGCTTAATGGAAGATGCCTCGTCGATGTGACTGGATCAATCAAGGAATGCAGGCGTCCGTCAATCAAGTAGTCACCATGGAGCAATTGGTTCGGACTTTGTGTCACAGAGTGTTACAAATGCCTCCCTTACAGATCAAATTCTGACCTGTCCTGCCCCCACAAACAAGACAACGCCCTGGACGTCAAATGTGAACGTCAACCGTCAAACTCCATTGCTCTTCTGATGCAAGAACCAATGACCGGCTGCTTTGAGCTTGCTTCAACACCAATCGGGATGAAGCAAATGAAACATGAAACTGCTCTCTGCGCTGGTCTGGAGTGCAATATCTGCCTTGGCTCCTTTGGCTTTAATCTTTCCCTTGGCCTGGGCCCTCAGATGGCAGTCACATCTCATGTGCTTGGTGACCAGGCTGCAGCTTTGAATGATTGTGGCTTGAATCCAAGAGCCAATTTTCACAGAATCTCGAAGAGGTTCTCGTTTGGGCATCCTACACCTAGCTGCCTAGGCCGCCTAGATGTGCAATGCATGCTGCAGACTGTCGTTCAGACCATAGCATAGTCATAGCTTGATGGCCATGTCGCTTGGCTTTCTTACAATAGCATCCAGCAAGCCTCATTTTACAGGAGCTAGGCCAGACCTGTCCAGCACCTTGCGAATCATAACAACGTACCAAAAATGGCGCTCAATTGCATCTGTTGCTTCTAGTGTAGTTTTGAGGGGGCGCACGCGCAATAAAGAACGCCCTCTGCTTCTGAATATTGTGGCTTCCTCCAAATTCACATTCCCACACATTCTAAGGAGAGTCCAGCATTGACAAAAACAGGGAATTGTACTAGGCATTACTAGGCTCTAGACTAAGCGGTAGTACTTCGGCGTTGCACACGTTGAAAAACTGTGCACACGCCGGCGCATGCAGACTCCGGCCTGAGCTTTTTTTTCTTGTCTTGTTTCTCAGCCTTCTTCTTGGCTTGCTCCTCCTTTACTCGGAGGAGCTCCTGTCGACAAGGAGTTGCAGTCACCTGAGCTTGCATGCTCAGATGACAAGAATACAGCACGGCTTCTGCCAAGAGAGCTGCTTTCCTGCAAAAAGACGGGCTGCTCAAAAAAGCTGTCTAAAACGGTCAAATTCCAGGAAGACCCAGAGGAAGTTTGACGAACGTAGCGACAAACTTTGCACAAGCACAACCTGCACCTCCCAAGGCTGCATGCAGGCAGCATAAACGCAGCACCCCGAAAGAGCTAACGAATTCAACAGTATTGCCACATATTGGCCATCTCTGCTCTGTGCATCCAAACCAGAGCATGCCCAGCCCTTCCAAATACTAAAAATGTCTAGTTCCCCGACCCAACACTAACTCCTCCAGCTTGCGCTCTCAACTCTTGCAAGAGCCCACCCTGACCCGGTCCTTGTATCGCTTGCTTTCCATGTGCCTTTCGACCTGGCAAGGCATGTCAGCAAGAATCATGCCAGAAGTAAAACCAGCAAGCGCAGGTAGAGCAGCCCTCCAGTAACTTAACTGCTGTGCAAAATGTCAACATTCCATCAATCCGGCTACCTCAACACACAACGTGTTGAAAACATGTGGCACCTGCCTTCTTGGGCTGCATTGGCAAAGTGGTTCCGGTCACCTCTTTTGGTGTCAAACTACCCCCCACATGCAAACACAAGGACTTAGCCGCGGACTGTGCAGAAGAGAAACTTCTTCTGCTTTTCATGCCTCTAGCATCAAGCAGAAGCTGCTCAGGCTTAATGGCGTCTTGCTTCCAGCATTGATAAGTACCGTGAGCCGTCGCACATGCCAGACGGGGTCCTGAAGCATTGCGACCCCTTAACAAGGCTTGAGGTCTGAGTCTTGATCGGAACAATGTGTGGCTCGAACTTGCTGAAGTCATAGCCATACCATTCCCGCGCCTTCATGGGCAGGAAAACAGCGCTTGTGGACCAGCCAGTTGAATCAAGGCCTTGCGATACTTCGAGCCATTGAGGTAAGTCTTGACGACCTTCGGCAGCTGAAGAGTCAGCTGAGCTCTGCCCGATTCGTCAAGTCATGTGGCCTCCAGCCTGGGAGGCATCTCGTGGCCGGTTGACTTCACGACAACCTGGCCGTTCAAAAGTAGACTGTTGCATTGATCTGTTCGACACCCCTTCACTTCACCTCTCTGCTGCATGATTCGGTGAGAGCGGGAAGGAACTTGAAACTTGGGTTGTGTAAGATTCCGTGGGAATCCGCTTCCCAGGAAACCCGTTCCTGGCCTTGCCACTTCCATCCTCCTTGAAGTCGAGGTCCTCTGAGAAAAGCATACATCAGGGCTGACTCTCTCCATTTGCCGTCTCTTAAAAGGAATGCCACTCAAGCTTGAAATTCCGGCTGCGAGGTAGTCAGAGTGAAGATACAAAAATCAAACAGGCAAACAGGCCTGGCCTCATTCTCGGCCACCAGTGAAGCCAATGCTTCACCATCCTCCGCCTGCAAAGGAACCAGTGGACAGCGTGACACCCCCTTCAGCTCACTCCAGGAACTGCTTATGCTACGCTTACCCCTACGCTTAGCATCGCTTGGCTTCCTTTCCGCTCATAGCTGCTGAGGTGCCGGACCTCATCTCCCATTGCGGCAACGGCAATGGGCGTGGCGGAATTATGCAGCAGTCTCCGAAGGAAAGTAAATGTGACCTGTTGATTCGTAACTGCGTTTAGAATGGTTGCTACCACTCGGAAGGTCAATTGACGGCCTTCGCTGTTGGTAGATACTTGTCCACCCGTAAACAAACTGAAGCGCATAGCTGCTGACTGCCACGTTCTAGCAGACATTGCAATACATTGAGGCTGGGCACTGTGGATTTTGCAAGGCCTTCTTGAACGCAACACTTGACCTCGCGCATTGCGTAGAGTCCTGAAGTTCCTGAAGCTTTGAACGGTTGTAACAGGCATTCTCTGCTGGCTCAGTGAACAGCAAAGGCTGCGTCGAATTGCTGCATATGCAGGAAGCTATTGGAATCTACTCCAATTTGGACTGGAGATTTCCACATCCGATTTCTATTTTTGCTCCGTCTTCGTCGTGAACACCGCCTTCCGAACGGTGCCGTTCAGCTCCGGCAAGTTGTCTCGAACAGCAGCTTCGCTGCGTCTGAAACTTTGCTCGACTTGGCCTTTGAGGCCTGGTATGAGGGGCCGCAATCTGACAGGGAATTGATGCAAACGGCAATCTTGCTAACCTTCGTGGGTATTCGAAACCGGCAAGACTTGGATGCGCTAGGCGGAAAAAGCTGAAGGTTGCAATCCCAGCAGTTTGCGAGGGAGGCCGGCACCGTCCATGCTCCTCATACTCGTGTTCTATCGTGTTCTGAGGGTTAGCCAAATCCGGCAGCGATTTCTTACAGCAGTTGGGCGGGCCGGCCTCGGTGCAGTAGCTACTAAACCTCTCAGGCTCGTGACCTACACAGGCCTTGACATGAGGGGTTCTATTCAACGAGGAGGCTCCGGTGGAGCGCTGACTGATGGTTTTCCCGTTGGTTGACGGACCGACACCCTGGCGCAGCCGGGGGAATTTGGGCTTTGTCATCGTAGCGGCTACCCTTCATTTGCTTATTTTGTTCTTTACAACTTGAGAGCAATGCGGACGAAAGCCAGTAATTACTCCATGTATGGTGGAGACTTGCATCAACTCCAAACATTCTGCACTGGCTCTCCGGATACAGTCATTTTATGATAACGATTCTCATCCCTCACGTCCCCCTGCTCAAAAATGAAAAATCACTGGCACGAAACATCATGCATTCCTAGAGAAACATTGTTTGTTTGAGTTATACAGAGGCCTATGCAAGCTTCATGAGCGCATCATTGTCCCAAACGGAAATCATGCAGAATCCTAATGCCACTATTTGGATTTATTTAGGAGGACCATTTAATCCCTTACCCCCAAAAATGCTATACGACAATCCCCCCTCCCCTAATAACCAAACCCCCGAGTTGTTGTATTCTAAGGGGCGGCTTTGTCTCATGCAGTCCACGGCAATCTGCGAAGCTAATATTTCTCGTCAAACCAGCTTACACTAGTGTAAATGAAACGTTCCTGGATCTCAACACCCCCAGTTCAGTAGCAATTCAACCCTGATGGGCCCATTTAACGGCTAATCTTGCCTCTGACAAAGTACCCTTCCATGATCTTGGATTTTCTGGGAAGGGTTGTTTACTGTTGGCGGTAATGCTTATTAACGAGGGGAACGGATTAAGTTCCACTCAAGCAGGCCGTGTACTCTGGATTATCATGCCAAATGGTCCAAAAAGTTAGCCCAAGAATCTATACTTGGCAAACCAGAACTTTCAAAAGCTCCAAGGAGTAGCTGTCGTAATAAACGCGAGTAGCTTCCGTTGTGTCATTACTCACTGGCTGCTAGCTAGTCCTTGGCTCATTTGAACCAGGGGCGCTTTCAGAGCAATTTTTTCTTCATTTGGTGAAGTCTTTTGGCATGTACATGTGAGTAGAAGAATCAGGAGCTGGAATCTGCTCCAGGCCTGTCTAGGCTTACGGCTGGGGTAGTGCTGCAGCATGTTTGGTCCAGCGACCCTCTGGTATCAAAGCCACCAGAAGCTGTTCAACTGTTCAACTACTAAAGAGAGGAATCATCTTGTGCGATCTCCGCCAATTCAAGCTCCACTGGTGCACGCAGAGCCGGGTGTGCTTGACGTTTTCTTGCATGTTTTGTAGCTACTTGGTCCTGGTTGCAAGGTTTGGTGTCTTAAACGTTTTTGCTGACCCAGACTGACCCAAACGAGCCAAGGAGCTGTGTGTTGCGCCCAAACCAATGTGACTGCCTTAGCTTTTTCATCAGGTATGGCAAGGTATTTGGGCTTGGGCATCATTTGCGGGGCAGACCTGCCCGAGCATGCAGCATGCCATAGTTCCGCGAAACTCAGCCTAACCATCTCCAAGTAAATTCTAAAGATATCTTGCGCAATGACGTTTACATCGCCAAGAACCTGTCTAGCGCGGCGTGATGCAGAGTCATCAAGACAAGGAAGTACCCCTGCATCTTCAGGAGAAGAAATGTTGATCCATTGGATGCCTCTCGCTAGACCGGAAGACCATCACTTCAATCCATTACATGTGCTTGAGTTTTGCTTCCTATGGGCTCGTCATCAGGAACCTGCGTCCATGTTCTCACTGTACAATCGAGACATACTACCAAGAAAGGGGTCAAAGGGAGTCAAGCCGGTCAGACACGCCAAGCTCTTCTACAAACTGCCTCAAGCAGGAGTCCCACCTCAGACCGTTCTTTAGGAAACCGGCCGCGTTGCCGACTCGCATGCGCCGCCTGCTGGACGTCAACACCCAGCTGGGAGCCGACGAAGCTGATATCCCTGTGGAGCGCCCTGCAGACGTGCAAGCAGTAAGAACTTCGGATTGGCACGGTCCAGACAACCAGAGCCTGGCATTGGTAACAAGTGCACGAAGGAAACTCATGATGTCGAGGGACTTCTAGACTCTTAGCATCTTCTGTCTGCTGTTTTGTCTCGCATGACAGGCCAAGGCTGCTGCCTGCACTGGTGCATGATCGCATGGACATCAATGCTCCGTGCTTGTCCCTTCAGCTTGGCGCAGCCATCCAGGAATTCTTGGATACTCACCTGCTGACTGCTAGCTTGCTGCATTCCAAGCAATGAGGGTTGCTTGCAAACGCTCAAACACTACAGACATGAAGAAGCAAGTGGAGGTCCTTCAGGGTCGCATGTTTGATGCTTTTTGTGGTCTCTTGTGTTAATATTCCTCACAAGTCTGAAGAAGCCAGCTGCCCCACTGCCCGGAGATAAGTCCGTGAAGGTCGATCCAGTAAGTGCAGAATGAAATCTTTGCAGGAATCTTACTTGCCAGTGCCTTGCTTCGACCCTGACTGGCCCTACCTCTAGGGCAGCCACAGGCATGCGTCTGAAATAGATATGAAGATATATGAACGAACAAATGTTGCACTCTCCAACTCAGATATTCACACCTTGTCTGAACACCTGAGACAAGCAGTCGCATCATATCTGCTGCTCCGGCATGGTACAAATGATGACACACGAACACCAAAGCGATGGAATCCTCAAAGTCAAGCCATGCTTCGAAACACAGTTTTGCTCAATTTGCTCATGCTTCACCTGCCTCACCAGATTCGTCGTCATCAAGCAAGTGGAAGATTTGGTGCGCATTCACCTCGTCGAACCCAAGCACCTGCAGTTGCCAGGTTTCTGGCAATTAGATCTGCACTTACAGGGTTTCCAAGCCAATTTCTGCAGACCTCATGGGGCAAAACGCTGCTGGGCAGCAGACTTAGGGTCTCCAGTCTGCATTGGAACCCATGATGTGGCTTTTCCACACAGGGGGGAGCCTGAGCCCATCTCCATAGAATCCATCTTTACCTAACCCTGGCTGGAACATGGCTATGCTAGCTTATGATTTCCCCGAACTGAAGTTTTGTTTGTGAAGCCTGGTGACATCAATCGAAAGATCGCGCCAACTACAGCACACGCGACTGAGAAACCTGGACTTAAAGAGTGTTGCCCCCCCAACACCCTTTTTGTCTGTTGTGGGATCTCGGGGCGAACTATACCTTGTCCTGCCACACGTCCACAGGCTGAAGCTTGCATTTTGAACCGGAAACTGGGAGCCATCCAAGGCGCAGCAAAGTATGCAGCGAGTGTAGGATCCTCAGGAGGCACCAGTATGGGGTTGAATGTACAATATCTAAAAACTCCGAGAGCAGAAGGAGACGGGCTCCTGCAGCATGATCTTAATCTCATCCAGGTGGATTGCACCGTTGCCGTCAGTGTCCAAAGCTTCGAAGAAGTCCTTCAACGACTTCAGAAAGGAGTCCTGCACACCAGCTCAGCCCGACGCATTTAGATCCTTAACTCGTCTAAACCTTGGAGCTTAAGTATTGACAAAACATCCGAGTCTCGTGCTAGGATCTAGGAGACTTACCTGAATCTTTTGACAAGATGTATGATGCGAAGCGCCGATCTAGTGAGGGAGGGGGTGGGGGGGGTTGTTGCCTGATATGCGCGATGCTACCTAGAATTGCTTGGTTTGAGGCACTTACAGACCATTGGGTTTCAAACATACGGCGGAAAACGCATCGTCCATGGCTTCCTTGAGCTCAAGCTCGCGCTCGATCTGAATGTCTCGTTGTGAATTCGTGGTCTGGATGGCAGAGTCCACAAACACTCCTGCCAGGAGCCCGGCTTTGGTAACATCGTGAAAGGTTATCAAATGTTATCAAGTTTGTCTGCCTTCAGCCGCCTAGCAATGCCTGGCACACATGCATCAATGCACATCGTCATTGCACACCCGGATGGTGCTGCAACATGAGAACCTGTGGCCGCGAAGGCAAATTAATGGCAACCGGCGTGTTGGACAGAAAACGTGTGCTTGAGCTATATCACCATCTCCTGTGATCACATTGAGCACTGAAAAGATGGTGAACATGATATAGAAGAGCAACAGCGCAGCTGACAGGATGTCAATCTTGAAGAGGAGGTCACCTGGCAAGATCTGGCAAGTGCACTACGGCTCTGAAAATGTCTGAATGGTGAGGCGGGTTTCAACAATGCTAGGGTCACAGGTTCGTTTGGAGGCTCTGCTCAGTAGCAGGGAAAAGGGGTCACTTCCACCAACCACCCTTCAGTGGGCAGTCTGGCCTCTCAGAGCTTATTTGACATTCTCGCAGAAAAAACTTGCACACTTCATCACCAGTCCAGAGAAGTTCCTAATCCAGGTGAAGCGGGGTCCCCAACACAACAGAGGCCGCTTGTAACAACCCTGATGAAATCCCTGCAAGGCCATCTCAACTCGCAAGCCCTTTAAGATGCAAGCTACATAGTCTAGACTCAGAGACTCACCAAAGCCAAACAAATCTAAAGCCAGACCAGCAACCCAGCGAGACCGCGAGGCCCGACCGGAAATCCCTTGAGCAGCTGCTTGAATTCTGAAAGCGTTCTGGGGCAGGGTGATCTTTTTGCAATAACCCATGTTTCACCTGAAGTCTTGATGGTCACCCGAGACGTAGTTCAAAGGCTTTGACCCAAACCTGCCGAGGTCCTGGCAAACGATGTGCCAGCTAACGCCCCCAAGGATGGACAGCATCAACGTGTACACCTTCGATGGACAATGGCCTGACTTTCTCCTAAATGGATCTCATACTTTGGAACTACAAGCGGTGACGTCACGCCAAGCCACGTGAAGTCACGCCTCCCCACGCTCACACGGGATTTGCGCCAAGATAGAAACGATGAAACGCCATGTACGACAATAACAAGTGCCTTTTGCAGCAAAGACCGTTGCGCAGCATGTGACATGTTGGTTAAGCGGACCCAAAAAGCTGGTCTCACGTTTTTTGTTCATGCCTATCAATGGGGCGCGGCGCATTTTGAGGCGTCATTTTAAACCAGGGGGCGCCAGCAAGTCTTGGCATCCTGATTCATGGATGGTTTGCAATCCTAGCCCGCAGAGCAATCTGGACGAATCCATCCCGCAAAGTCCCAAAAGCCACACTCTTAGCAATTACTTGTGGACCGTAATCTTCGTCCACTTCATGGCGCTGCACCAGGTCCGCGCGAGGTAGCGTGAGGTCCGCGTGAGGCTGAGCAAGACATTCATGAGCCAGGCCCTCTACCACAGCAGAACACACTGCCCAAGTTTGAAAGGCCCGCTACGGCGAACGTCGATATATGTCAATATATTATAGCTTTGCCTTGAGAGGAAACGCATCAACTACGCAAAGGGCCAACCAGGGTCAACCAAGCCAAGGAAAAGCGCTTTCTTGCCTGTGAACGCCTAAGTCCGGGAATGCATTGCTAACAGGGCAATGCTCATGGGCTCAGCCACAAACAAAACCGGAACGTTACCAAGCTGCAACAGCTGCCGCACAAGATTGTTCCATACAAATGCTCGGTGTGGCCACGGCTCAACCTAAACCTGTTACTGCGGAAGATTCTGAAAGCACGTTCTCAAATTTGACCAACAATGCCTCAAGGTATAAATTGTGAATGAGAAATTGACAAGACTTGATTGAACCGTGTCGTACAAGCAGCGCCAAATCTGTGTTACCTGTTAGTTCTTCTGTTTGAAGGAGTGGATGCGAACACACCGCGGAAGTGCAAACCTTCTAGGTCTCTAGTCCCTGCGTACCTGCAGCTAGTTCTGTGGCACACTCTGAACTCGGATTGTGACAGTCAAGCCATGAGCCAAAAACTTCACATGTGCTGGCACGCTCCGACTACGCCGTGGTGCAGTCGAGCCCAGCGAGCCAAACCAGGTCTCAACATCCTCAATCAACGCTCGATCCACTGAATTTGCCGCGTCCTGGCCAGTGCAGAAGAAAGACGGCTCAGAAGTACAGAGATGGAGGTTCAGTGTGTATGGATCGCTGTGCTCTCGGGGTCAGAAGACGAGGCTCCCTGCTGCAGGCGACCTCTTGCAACCTCTCGAAACAGCCCACCGATAGCTAACCCAGCCTCTCCTGTCTTAACCTCCCGTAACAGACCTGCCCCCCCCCGCCTACCCGAGGTGGCGCGGCGGTCCATGGATGCTGAAGCGAGCATTCAGGACATCAGACTTTTCAAGTGGTTCCTCCCAGTTCCTTGAATATGTTCTACCCACCGGCCCCAACACACCCTGCAAGTTGATGAACTGTTGCACAACGTGCTACAGTAAGGAGGAAATTTTGCACCGTGCCGGCTTCCAGCCAACAGCAGCCCTTGCCCTGCTTGCATCTCAACGTTCGTGGTCCAGACTTTGATGAGAAGCAATATTCTGAATTGATACACGCTCGAATCTCAAAAGAAGAAGCTATCATAGCCGGTCCTGTTGGATCAGCCAGTCTGCGGTGTTCATCGAAAGGCTCACAGCAAAGACATATACGATGATGCCTCTGAATTAATCCCCCCGATCAGGCGGGTTCACATCTGAGAGGTGGGTGCAGACTCTGCCATCTGTAACAGACAGTTCCGGGTCACGCAGCCAAACGTGCTCATGCCTGAGTGCGGCTTGAGCTTAGAGACCCAGCTTTCTCAATATTGTCAAACGATCTTTCAACCCCAAACGGCTCTGCAAAAGTATTGCAAGCCAACATCAGCAACACAGAACGTAAGCAAAATGTGTTCGAATTCCGAGCTTGAAAAGAAACGTCAACACTATGTCCTGGCGGGGCCCTAAGCCCGGACCTGCAGGACTCCAAGAATGGATGACTTGCCGCTGCCGTCAACACACTTTCTCTTAAGCCGCCGTTGAGTCTCCTTCAGCCCACAGCTCCCCTTTGTTCAATGACAACCCTGCATCGACCTGGATTCCTGAAAGCTCTACGTCACTGCTTGTACCGCCTCTTGGTACCGCCTCTTGGCACTATGATGAAGTGTGCACCACGGATGGTCAAAATGCCCGAGTTACAGCTTCTGATATACCTGTATACCCCCACTTGAAAGTCTGCATCACTCCCACATTACTTCGCAGAAGTTCGGTTGAGAGGCCGAGAAGGATCAACGCTCCAAACAAGGACTTCAAGGAGTCCATGATCCTGAGCAGGTGCTTGCCGACAAATGGTTGGAACTTGAGATCCCGGGCTGGCCTACCAGCCTTTGAGGCATGAGTCCTTGATCTGAACCATGCCCTACAAAATATTGTGTTCATGCTGATGATGCGGGCCAGAATCATCATGGCCCAGTTCCCCAACTCACGGAAGAAGCGGAAGACTCGGAAGACACGCATGATCCTGCAAAGGCGAAGGCCAAAAGCTGTCAAAAAGGTGTCAGAAAGGTGTCAGATTCCAGCGGCTAAAGCCGTAACCATACAATTAGCTAGTCAGACATTCTTTGAGGTATGGCTACAGCGAGGGAAGCATGACTAAGCAAGGACCTTTGCAACGACGCATGTCTCTTTGAGAACTGTAAGTGTGACAGCTCGATGCCCCCCCTGAGTCTGAGATCTCTGGTTACATCAAGCTGGACTGGGTTCGGCAACGTGAAGCAAACAAGCACGTGTGGGTCCTGAAAAGCTTGAGCATCTTCATGCTGGCAGCCAAGGCTGGGGAGATGTCCGCAGCAGTGTACGTCAAGATAACCTGGCTGATTGCCCAGGGATTCATCCTTTCTGAACACAAACAAGAATACGAGGCCCTGGCATCCAGCACTGATGAAACAACCAGAAAGGAGTCGAACAAGTTCCAGCCTTGGTGACCAGAGCATCAAGGCCAGGCCAGGCCAGTCAAAAACTTGGGCTGCGCAGCTTTATAGTCGAGACTAAGACTGAAGAGCAAGCTGCTTGAACTCACAGCGACAACCAGTAGGAATTATTAGGGCTGCAGCCGTTTTCCTCGCCGTAGAAGAAGCTGCCCTTGTAGCCTGTGGTAACCAGTGAGTCTCAAGTGAAGAATCTCCAACTGTACTGAGACTCTTTTGGTGGGTGTGCTGGCGTGTCGTGGTGACCTGCATTTCAAGCACTGAAAGGCATGATGTTGTGCGAAGTTTCAGCTTGGACTGGATAGGTTTGCCATTAATGTGCGACCGGGCGACACCAGAGACGAAGACAGAGCTCAATGAAGAAGAAACCATTGCAGATCTCGCCCAGCACAAGGAGGATCTGCGAGCTATTTGATCAGGAAGGCTCACTAGGGGTGGGGGAATGCCCCTGCAAGTTTGAAGCGGGAATGCTACAGCGAGGACAAATAAGTTTGATTCCCCAGAGTTCTCCCTGAAGGGCAGCGGAGCACAAAAAGAAGTCCGCTCACTGTATCAAAACTTGCAGCTCCCATACTGCACGACGACCATGGGTCCAGAAAGGTTACAGCTGATGGGACTTCTTGCAACTTTTTCTAGGCTTGAATGCAGCAAAGCTGGCAAGTTTATCTGAACATCAAGAACGTCTTCCTAGATCCTGTTACGCGGATCTCTCCGCAGCTTGCGCGGCCAGATCCATCAAATACTGTCCGTGCGATTGCCTTGATGAGCTGTTGTATAAAGGAGGCCTTTAGTAATGCTGCAGTATGCTGCACATCGCTTCTTCTTTGCGCAACACCCCTGACATAATTACTGCAAGGCAGCTCCACTGTAACCCCGGGCTGGCTGCCGACCTGAGCCTCCAGGTAGGACTTGTTGCGCTTCACATCCAAACCAAGCAAAATCGAGTTGAAGACGATCATGGAAGCCACGAAGAGGCCAAACGACCGGCTGCTCAACTCGGCAAAATGCTGAGCAAAGCTGAGCAACGATACCATGACAAATTCTGGACATGAGTTGACTTTGGGAATTTGCTAGCTTCACAGAACCCAAAGACTCAAAAGGAAAACCCCGAAACCTTTCTAGAATAACTCAGCGTCATGCGTTGAAGCTGACGCTGGAACTCATGCGTGGCCGGAGCACCCTCAAACTGATGATCCAACTAGCTTAGCAGGCTTAACAGGGTTAAGGCTTTTGCGTTCAGTCTGCCATAATTTGCTCATGACTTCGTCAGCACCAGCATCAACAGGCCCCTGAATACATGAAAGGACCACAAGCCATTGCGATCAAACGCTCACCAAAGTGGTCTGCTTCACCAAATCCTTACAAGTCTCAGAGGTGAAGTCTCAGAAGTGATACCTGCAGGGAAGCCTAGTAAAAGACCCAAAAGTGCGCGAGAGAGAACAGCATTTGTGCAAAATCCCTCCTCGAAGATCGCTCAGGCTTCGACAATGCAGTTGAGGCTCACCTTTCAATGTTTACGGATCCATGCCATGAGGAATCCAGCTGACTAAAGGCAACCTAGACCAGCCCAGGACCTGGCCTTCAAGCAAATGTTCTCTCTTAGACAACCGCGATCCCATGTGTTCTGGGGTACGTCAATCAGGGTTCAGCCGCTGCGTCAAAGCTTCCATCAGTAAGACTCGCCTAAGCCTTGTAGTTTTTGCTGCTCCTTACCATGCCGGTCCCAGCTCCTAAAAGCTTAATTTATCCACATTGGTGGCTCGCAGTTGCACCTCCTGGATGCTTCGAGAGGCAGTCTTGCCGGCCTCCTCGCAAGGCTTTTGATTGGCTTTGCCCCTTGGAAGGTTCTAGAATGTTCTAGATCTGTGGGCGAAGCTTGCGAGTCTTAACCTGGAATGTAACTTTCAGGCGGGGTATTGACCATGTTTAATAGTTGGCACGTGGCTGGTCAGGATGCCCAGTCAGCAAGACTCCTCACCAGGCTTAAATAGGTCAGACGGATTGTCTAAAGGGCTCCTGGCCAGACGTCTGGCTTCAGAGCAAATCCCTTGACAAGATTCGACAAGCACGCCGGCCCTTCTGCATGCGGTGCGCATCCCGCATGGGAGGCCTTTAGTGCTAGGGAGCCTTAACAGCTGTGTGCACATCGTACGCGAAAGCCATAAGACTGAAAAGCCAGAGTTTCATTCCTCACTATGCAGCGCGCCTTGCCGCGCACCCTCGATGAGATCTCACCAATGGCCTCCGGGCGGAGCAAGGCAAGCAAGTGTTCAAAGGGTTCCGCCTACACAAGAGTTGCAGGAGTATGGGCTTGGAATTTAGAGTTTGGCGTTCGACTGGCAAGCTCGACCTCATTCAGCGTACTCAACGCTTGCACTTGGTCCAAGGCCAAGGCAGACACCTTCGACTTCCGTCAACTCTAGATTCCTGCACCCGATCCAGATTACAATAACTTGGACCTACCTTTGAGTGACCCTTGAAAGGACATGCTCAAGCACCTTCTCCTTCTTGCTGATCTCCTGGTCACTGCATCGCTTGCGTGTTCTATTAGACGGAAACCCTGCATCACCTGAAGCCCAGATTGTGATACCACAACGACCTGAAATACTGAACAGGTCTTAGCCAGGCTACTCTGCGGGTGAATTTGCTTCTCATGGGGATGGTGAATCTCTCTTTTGGTCAGGAGTGCTGCGATTGCAGCGTAGGGCTAGCGAACGAAATGAGCCTGGGCGGCTTAGTTTCAACGACAGCTGATCCCGCTTCTGCCCTGAGTCTACATACTAGATACGCGTGCTCATCAAGAGAGAGTTCCCATCGAACCCCGAAAAGCGGACTCGATGGATCTTCGTAGCGTTGATCACAAGCTTATCTGAATCTCGTGGCCCCCTGATGCAAACGGCAGAAGTGGAAGGCAGGCAGCGCGCGAAAGGCGATGGCAGCTGCATCAAAAACGTGGAGAATGTCATGCCAAGCGAGTCGAGACATGTTGAATGAGCGCGCAACACAAGGACGGCATCTTCCCCTCCTGCTGCATCCTGTGCAGCTTAGCCAGGGCCTCTGAATTCATGTTGGACCTGAGCTATCAGCTACCGGAAAGCTACCGGAGCTATCTGGCAAGATAGGTCGGGTTGATTACTGTTTGGTAATAATCCGGGGTTTAGGTTTCAGCTTGGGGTTCAGTGAGTTCAGTGGCCAGGGCACAGCATTGTCTGGGGTTGCAAACGGCTTCGCTTCGCGCAGTGAGCTCAGGATGACAAATCTCCAACAGCCATATCCTCGAGAAGCTCCACCCACAACACCAACCCCTCGAAAACAAGCGCCAGCTTTAAAGCCTGAAACCCTGATCTGGCCTGTCTGATGCTTCTGAACCCAAGCCCTCCAGGGCCAGACTCCACCAGCCCCGCATGATGGCAGGCTTTCAGAAGCTCAAAATGCCATGCGCCCGGCGTTAGCAGGCCTTTGCTGCCTCATCAATGCCACTGAAGGGGGATGGACAACGCTAGCATACACCGAACGGCTGAATTGACAAGCATCATGTCCTAGCATACGTTGAAAATAAGTTGGGCGGGCTGAGGAGTGTTGCCTGGGACCTCAACTCTAAAAGCACCTTCAAAGACACATCCTGGAACATCAATCTCGTTCCGCCATGTCTTGGTGTCAACTTTCATTCTTCAAACGGTCACGGCGAGCTTGACAGTCCCAGGAACTGTCCAAGCTACCAACTGGGGTCTGACAAGGCTAGCCGTCTACTTGAAATCTGCAGAACCAATTTGAGAATGTATCTTTGTTCTTTTCGCATTTTGCCTGTCCTGAAGTTTTGATTTCTAATTCTGCAGGTGTTGTCGATAACGCTCAGAGGCTTTGCAGTTGGCTTGGCTTGCTGGCTTCGCGTTGCTTCATGTACGGGGCTTGGTCTTGGCATGGCTGATTGAATTAGATTTACCGGCCACAACAAAGGGAGCTCCTGAACAAGATTCTTCCTGCCAACGTCTTTCGATGACCTTTTGCAAGCTCTCGACTGCGAGCCTCCACAACTCTACTTTCCAGCGTCTTCCCGTGCTTCCAGAGCAGCAGGTGATGAAAAGCTTCGGCAAACCGATCTTACTTTGTTGCTACAGAAACGAATGAACAATGATTGTGCACCAAGTGCTTGATCCGGGTATGATCTCAACCCATGTATGTCATGTTTTCGAGCAGTTCTCAAGAGGTAAATACGTACCTAGCTGTTGCAGATGGGTCACTTTCCAATGCATCCACCAACTCGCCTTGGCAGCAAATGCTTCATGTTGCGGCTTGAGCTGAGGTTCTCGGTCATGCTCATGCATTGCGGTTTGGAGGTTTATGCCTGCGAGCTACACGCGGCTGGTGCATCAACATTTGCATTGAAAAGCACACGCTCCTCGGTGGACATAGAACACACCCATGACGTCCTTCGCAACTTCTTCGCAACTATGGGCCATGTAAATGTGCCTTGTTTATGCCCTGTTTGGCAAGCTACCCGACTCTCTACTGGCCAAGAATCAAGTAGCACGCACGCTCAACCATGATTTGGGGCCGGGACGAGTGGTCATTCTCGGCGGGCGGCCTTCATCGGAGCCATAAGTTGACTCCCTCATACCTGTCCAGCGCACAGGTCATGAAGTGTTTTTCACAGATAAGGGGTCATGGAAATCTAATTCCAGCACATCGGCCTGGCTTCACATCCGCGGTTGTAAACGATACTTGCCTCGGCCGCCACAGAACAGGAACTCGGATCAGGCTTACATGCCTTGACTACCCACGTAGCCGTGAAGTGTTGGATTTTGGCACAGCAAGCTCGAAAGTTGTTTTCTCCGTGTGAATCCCAATGGGATGCCTTTTTTGGGGCTCCGGCTTGGACACTTTCATTGCTCCTGCATCGCCGACAGTATTCGCGTGGACGCTTTGTAGGGCTGATATTTGGCAAAGCTTATCCATGGATTATCACTAACTAATACTAATTACTGCCATCGCTAGGTCATCAAGAATGAATTCCAATGTTCCTTCCTCCAGTAGCTATCAAGGTTTTCTCATGTGTTCACTGTGTGCATGTTGCTTAAAAATCGACTATTGCTGCTGTTGATCATGGGGGCAGCAGCTGTTCGGAGCTTCCAATGTTAAGCAGCCAAACGACACATAGCACTGGCCCTGGTACATGGACCCACGTTGCACAATCGCCTCCAAATTTCATGTGCTCCTCCGCGTTTCTCTCGGCCTCCTGACAAAAAAGAGTTGACAAGAGAGGAAAAAGTCACGCCTTACTTCGATCTACATGGGGCATCTTTGGGCGGTTACAATTCTCAACAGGTCATCAAAGGCACCTGGGCTGAATTGTCATATCGGATGTCTCAAGATGATAAACATGCTGCCGGAATTGATACCGGGCGCTACCCTAACCCTCAAACACACGATTTCAGGTTGTTGATGTCATGTCTTGGCTACCCGCATTCTTTGAACGTGGATTGGATGTCGCGAATTCTAGACCGTCTGACAAGACTGCGGAAGATCCAGACTTCTTTGCCAACGCATGCAGAAGTTCCTTCTCGTTGTCAACAGACCCTAAAATAGGTTGACTGTGCAAACAGCATCTTTGGCATGTGCCGCGGGAATCCCGCACAATGTACAACACTGCAAAATATGACCACCTAAGATCACGCAAGCGTGGGTACTTGTGAGCAGCTTGCTTTGGCTACGTTCAAATACTTGATGTTTCTCATGCTTGGAGTTCAAGGCTTCTTTGAGTTTGAGGGGTTCCGGCTCAACGTTTTGCAGCTTAAGGGTAAGGGTTTCCAGTCTTAGGGTTTCAGGGCATCGGCTTCCAGTTTCTCACACAGGGTTTGGGTCTTGTTTGTAGTGGTTACGGTTACGGTTTAGAGGTTCAGGCGTTGTGCTTAGGATTACAACGGTCAGGGTTCAGGGTTTTGATGTTTCGTGCTGCAGC